GGTGCTGGGGGATTGAACCGCGGTCCCTGGGCTTTGCTAAGCTTGTTCTAAGTAGGTGCTTGAGACCACTGAGCCATCTCACCAGCCCCAACAGTCAGATCTTTATTGCTTACTGCTTTCAAGATAGATAAGATCAAACACGACTGACCATTTCTTGCCATCTTCATGCTACTCAAAAAAACAAATAATTGCACACTAGCAAGGTCTTTCAAGGTCTTTCAAGGAAATTTTTTATAACATACATAGGGATTTAAGACACGTACAGTCAGAGAGCTTTGAGACTACTGTAATCCCTCCTTGGTACAATAGAGACTTGATTTAATAAGTGCTGAATTTCACTTTGTAAATAGAGTCAACCTCTTCTCTACTAGAAATCCCAGGGTAATGTAGGCCCCAGGCTGATCTGCATATTTTAAAGTTACCAAGCACTTTTCAACTGGAGCAACTGTCAGGTATGTCTCAAGAAACTTGCTTCAGTTTGAGAACGAGGAAATGAAATTAAAATGATTCTTTCTCTCCTTTCTTAATCCAGAAAATTAATATATTTATATTTAAAAGCACTGTTCCATACACAAACTGGCTAGAATCGGTGTAATTTTTACTATGAGCACTAAGATACCTCCAGATATCCATAAGAATTTTCCTCTTGACCCCAGTGCCCATAGTCTGCAACAATTATAAAGAAATGATGTTATTAAAGCATTATTTGATGATGTAAACACTGATTAAAGCCCTCTTATGCATTAAAATCTACAATAGAAAATTATAATTAATTGTTATAATCTTACTAACAAAAATTTATAGGATATATTCATAAGTAATTTGCACTTTGATTGACTCTACAGACATTTGCTTGTAGACAAACAGAAATACGTTTACCTTGTTACTTTGTGGTTTGTCAGTGTAACATATAGCCACTGCCTTCTTGCTCATTTTATATGCACATATGTTTTGCATATATGTTTATATTTTATCTGTGTATACATATAAATACATTGCATCATGCATAAATGCAAGTATACATATCTACACATAGAGCTGTATTCTAAAATATACAAACCTACAAGTACATATTAACACAACAGAATTTCTCAATATTTGTCAATTAAATCCTAAATTATGATATGAAAACTGAGATATAACTGGTTAAGGAAAGAGAAAATTGGTTTCCCTTGCAGAAAATAAGGAAAATGGAGGGAAAGACTATTTTATTAAGCAAAATAGAACTTAAAATTTGCTATTCAATGAAAAGTAATTTTGCATTTCTAGTCCCCAGGGTCCCAAACAGGAGTTGTGAAAAAGGACAATAGAAATATAGATAAAGTTAGTATCATGAAAAGGCCTGTATATAAAGATAATATACTGTGAATTATTAACTAAGGGCTTCTGTTCAGACTATCAGACTCAGTTCTTTATTTGGACTGACCTATTTGCAATGAAGCACATTGCTTACGTAGAAAGGTCAAGAATTAATGAGTATCAGAGGTAATGCTCAGAAGAGATTACAATATGTCGCAAGTTTAGGATTTTGCAATGGGAACAATATAATATGGGACATATATTTTATAAGATTATTTTATAATGAATCTATAATGAATCGACCAAAGAATCATATACAAAAACAGAATAGAGAAAATCTGTCCACACACTAAAGACCAAAGAATCCAGCTGAGGTCCTGGATCCCATAACATCCTGCGTGAATCCAGCTGAAGTCCTCATAGCAACCTCCCAATGAGTCTAACTAGAGGCCCAGAGCCCACGACAGTGTCTCCTGCAGCCTGCTTCACAGATCAGTGCTGAGGGGCCACAAGCTCAGTGGTGGAAACTAGAAGGTCTGTGCCAATGGTATGAAGGATCTGTGCTAGCACTGAGAGGGATGTGCACTGGAACTAGGAAGCAATGCTCAGGGTAAGAAGCAGAGCGCTCCTCAAAAGCCCCGCAGCTGTCCTCAGCAACAGTGAGGTCCCGAGCTCCTCCGAGGATGAGGACAGCTGAGTTTCCATCGGAAAGTCAAGTTGACCAGTTTCTCCAGGATGCCGGGCAGTGCACCATCTTCCCCTCCTGGGCCAGGAAGTGATGCTCAAGGTGAAGACCAGAGCTCCCTAAAAGTGAACCAGAGCCATTCTCAGGGACAACAAGATCCCAAGCTCCTCCTCCAATGACAACAGCCAGTTTCATCAGGAAAGTCAGCATGACAAGGTCCTCCTGCAGAAGGAGCAGCTCCATAACATCTTCCCAGAAGCTTCTCTAAACAGCTTCCCTGACAGCCTCCCTCTTCTCCATTTCTGCTTCTTATGCTGCTGGCAACAATCCTCATGTAGGCTTCCCACACCCAGAACCACATTACTTTAGTTCAGCAGTATGTAACAAGTTGACTGCCAGTTGTCATTTCACAAAACAGTATATTCCAGAGTGCTATCTATAGGATTTAGTAACTAGACCAATAAAAATATTAAAAGATAAAAGCTAAAATACCAATAAAAAAACATTTGTTCAGTCATTCTTTTGGAGAGTTTAAAGAGAAAGTGTTCAAATCAATTTTAGTATTTAATTGAGATACTTGTAGAAAAGCAGTGCTTTGTAGAAAAAGCAGTAGTTGTTGGACTATAACAATCTGAGATGTGCACTCTGACCCACAGGGGAACACCCACATGTAAGATCTCAACTAAATGGCTAAGGCAACAAAACGTATGGAAGCATAGAGTTTTGCACATGTGATAGAATACTGTTCCAAAAGACAAAATTCCAGTGGAAATTGGACCAAATTCAGTTGTATTCTGCACAGTGGGCTTCCAAATCCTTGCATACTGTGATATCGTTTAGAATGTATTTGGATAGTATCCCTTGGTAGGTTTATCTCCTGCCTTTTAGGTTTAGATCTACAGGTATAGGTAAAAAAGAATCACTGTGCAAATATTCTTAGGCACACTTAGGCCATTATAGTTTTAGTACGCTTCCACTTTAGGTAACACATTCTGAAGGGACTGCATAGGAAGTACTCTGTAAGGCGCTTACGCACGACGAATCCACACTCCGTGCTAAGCTCTCCAATCTTGTGTGCCTTTTATGTTTCCTCACACTGCAGTTTTGGGTTTCTATTGATAACAAATATCTTGGGGACAATTTCAAAGACAAGCATGGAGACATTCCGTAGGCGCTGGGGATCAATGACAGCTTCACTCAGAGCGCTGCCATCGCGATCATGTTCCTTGCCTCGATGGCCTAAACAGGAAACATATCGTGCAGAATCTCTATCTGCTTTAATTTAAGTTAAATGCCCAAAGCTAAGTCAGTGATCATGTCTCAAGTGCTCACAAATTTAGGCTTTTTTCCCTTCCTCTGGTGAACATCTTCCATTTCAAAAGTCTTAGCATTTTGTCAGTCTCTCGTGTGACTTTCAGCTCTCCTCTGCTTTCTCCTAAATGCCCATTTAGCATTGCATAATTTCCTTAACTACTCTGCAGTTGCCTCCAAGGAGCTTTATCTTGTTTTTAATTTCTTCCTGTTAAGCTCATTAAAAAACATCTTTTAAACATTATACAATGGAATGGTTTATAAACGTGCATAATTGTGTCATTTTTCTTCAAGAAAAGTATTGTGTGAGATTTTTATGCAGCACAGAGATGCTTCAATAAGATTACACACAAAGCAAATAAAAAATTAAACTAATGTTAAATTATTTTGTTGATTCACATAAGAGGTGTTTTATCTCAACTCTGGAAAAATAGAGTTCTTATGTAAATGGGAATGCAAAACAAGGGCAGGGAACAAAGGAAAAAGACAAATTATATCTTCTTGAACCCCATTGTTTTTTATCAACAAAATAAAAGAGGAGCTATTTGTTGCTGAGCTCAAAAATTGGAGGTAAGCAGTTTCTCCTGATTTCTCTTCTTCTTGATTTCTGGATATGATTTTCATTATTGCTGTTCTTATAGAAGTCAGCTTGTCACATCTCCGACTTTTGTGGGGTTTAAAAAAAAAACCATTTCCTCTGAAATCCCTTATATTGAACTATAAATTATATGTAGTTACAGGGCACACATTTATAGTGTTTTTAATATTCTAGTGTACAAGTACTATTGATCAAATGTAAAATAGAACAAGTGACCTGGAATATCAATCTTAAAAACTGCAAAACCAGAAATGCATCAAAACTGTTTGAAATTATTAATAATGACAATGTGTTGCATGGGGTTGTCAATAACAGTTTGAAAGTGCACTTACCTAAATAGACATGTATTTTTCTCAGTTCTTAGGAAATCTTCTCTACAATGTTTTCTCCTCGATTTTTCTTTCTCAATATAGCATTCTATATTGAGAAACAGAAGTGGCAATTACTTGTCTTTCGCATTCATACCTTGGTGCTTAAGTAGATAACCAAACTAAAAGCCGACTCGCCAGGAAGAAATATTTATCTGCCTTAAACATTAAAGGAGAAGCAGATGATTCAATCTGACACCTGGGAATGAATTTAAAACAACTATAAATTAGAATTGATAGGAAAGCATACCACATAATTAAAGCTCCATCAACTGTGAGATAAAAAATAAGGAGCATGCAAATAGATGTCTTTTAGGAGAAATTAAACTTAAGACTGGTGACAGGTGCTCCATTGCCTCTGTCAGTGTGTGCATAATAATTTTTGCCTCCTTTCCACTTCTCCTCTGCTGCTTGCTCTACGTGGTAAACACCCTTGGAGGAAGAACAGGCTGGCTCTCAATTAAAGCAATTTCCACTTGCCTGACAAACTGGGAGGCTTCTATGCAGCACACGCAACTTGGAAATAAAT